CTTTGATTCGCAGGTTGGTTCGATTGAGCTGTGCACTTCTAAAGTTCTAACTCCGTGCTAGATAGTCTGACTGCTGTTGTGTGTTTTTATTTTAGCGGTTGTATGACTGCTTCAATTGTCACGTTGCTGTATTAGATATTGTAAAAGAGTGCATAATTCAGTTATAAATTTCGTTAATGGTCCAGCTGTGTGTGTTTTTGTCGGGTAACGATTAAGCTTTGCCTTCTTTGAGGACTAACCTACAAACCCCACCCAAACCCTTTATTCGTGGATGCAAGAGGGGAAGCTCCTGCCAATTGAGCTTCCCTTTGCTCCTCCTTAATGTTGTTATCATTCATATATTTGTAGTAGATATTTGTTATCTTTACTAAACTTCTTTCTTCTATTGAACAATGGTATGTGAGTCTGGTGAATGTGGTTCTTGGTTTTGGCCTGTCTCAGTAATTGCTCTCTCCATGTTCTGGATTCAACTGTCTATTTTTATGCTGTTGTGACCATCATCATATGTTTATGCAATGCTTGCACCTCATGTAGTTTGTTGCTTCCTTCTTTTAACTTTTACATTTTCTGATATACTGATCAAATGTTGTAAATTTATAAGCAAATCTTTCTTTTCCAAATCTTGCATGCTTACTCTAGTTTTTTAAAAATGTGGCTAAATCATGGAGATCATTTCTATTTTAGAAGTGGCTATAGCTTATACATGTAAAATGTTGTATCAATAATCAATTATCATCATCATATTGTGACTCTGTCGAATACATGAAGTTGCTCACCTTATTTGTGTTTAATGAGGCTATATCTTCTGCTTAATGGAATAGATTAGCACGTTGGTGTTGGCTGAACATGAAGGAGGTTCCATCAAGTCATCGTCTATTAGTTCTGTAGAGGCTGCAAAGTGTTTAAGTAAGGATAATTCGATCTCCATGCTATTGGCCGGTTCTGGTCCCTCTCTCCAACAAGCTGCAACACATGCTTCCTTGTGCCATCCCTTAGTTTCACAGGTATGTGTCTTTTCTTATTGAATGTAGACTTATAGGATAATATCATTTACTTGGCGGTTTCAATATGACTTAAAATATTTGAACAAAGTTAAATCAAACAAAGAATTTTGTGATAAGTGGTAAAACAAAGAATACACAAAACGAAGAAATGAGCAACTTATTGACACTACTGAAAATTTGAGCTAGATAGCCAATAGAAGTAGAATTTTTTATTTCACTACTATTTGTAGTCAAATCTAGTAATTTAGGAACAATAGTTTTCATGGAGTTACCTTCTGAATAGTGGTGGTTTTTCTAGTAAGAGTTAGAAAAGGCTGTCAATGAATTGTATACCATACAAACTTGTCATATCCTTTTTATTTTGTTCTGAGAAGCCTTGAGCAGCTGTCTAAAATTCTACTTTGTATTTTTGAAAGCTAATTTTTCCATTGGGTTTAATTTACTAAAAGATGTCTTTTGATCGGATGATCATGGTTACCTTAACTTATTTAGAAGTATGTACCTTGAACTTGTAGAGTGGAAAAACTTTCACAGTACTAAGCTTGTGCTAATGATATGTCTTGTAGGTGCTTGTGGCCGATTCAGATAAATTTATGAATCCTTTAGCTGAAACTTGGGCAAATCTGGTTGAATTAGTTCAGAAGAAAGGTGGATATACACATATTCTTGCTGCTTCTGGTTCATTTGGTAAAAATATATTGCTCCGTGCAGCTGCGCTTTTAGATGTTTCTCCAGTAACTGATGTAACTGGGATATCTGGGTCTCATCAATTTGTGAGGTACTTTTACTACTCCTATCTGCATTTGTTATCTCTCAAAATAAGCATACAAATGCTGGACATTTAAGAAGTACATTAAAATTAAAAATAAAAAATAAAAAGAATAAAAAAACATGTAACATAGATGTATATGTTGAGATGGATGTTAGTTAAGTTGGTAACACTCTGAAAAATAAAATTAGGAATGTAGATATTGGGGGAAAGTTGGAGTTACAAATATTGAAGATTATGTTAGGGAGAATAAATATGATGCATTGGTAATGAAAGTGAAGTGTTTGGCTATTGGAATTCTCAAAAGAAGTTGAGGGAGACTAAAGATGACTTGGATCTAGGGAGTGAATAATGAATGATATGATGAAAGTTTGTTTGCAAAAGCATGTAGCACTGTATAAAAGTGAATGGAGGAAGAGGATCTTTGTAGATGACCACCTAAAATAGATTCTTGGTTTATGCATCTGACCCATCGTTCTAATTTGGATTTTATTGTTTTATCCCTTTTTCTTCTTGACAAAATTGCTAAGACTATTATTTTAAAACCCACTGGATTTTATGTGTGGATGACTATTACAGGCCAATATATGTCTTTGTACAGTTAAATATACTGGCGAGTCTCCATGCATCTTGACTGTCCGTGCTCCTTCCAGCATCTGAAACAAGATCTTATGCTGCTCCCATTACTCAGGTTGATCTCTCAGCCTTTGGTGAAGGTCTGTGTTTAGTTTAAATACAAACTTTTCTTTTGTCACACTTGGCAGTGATGGTAGCAATTGCCATCTTGATTTTGATTTAGATTATATTAAATGAGAGCCTCAGTCAAGGTGGTATTAGACGGCAACTTATACAATTCCAACTTCTGAGTCATGACATACTTGTATATCTGTGCTTGTAAGTATAGTTTTTATGAGCTCTGATTCTGGTAATTCATTTGCAGAAATTCTGGATAAATCTAGATTTGTAAAGCGTAGCACTCAGAAAACTGAGCGCCCAGATCTTGGAAATGCACGCATTGTAGTGACCGGAGGACGAGGTTTAAAAAGTGCTAAGAATTTCAAGATGATCGAGAAGCTTGCTGAGAAACTTGATGCAGCAGGTATTTAAAAACATTTAACATATGTTTGTTTACTTTACATAACTTTGAGCTTGAGTTAAATATCTTTTACACAGTTCTTCCGTGCTTAACATTTGTAACATAACAGATCAACAGAAACATTTTTAAATTGTATAATCATTTTAAGGACTCCTAAAATTGATAGCACTTCCTACATAAAGAGCTCAAATAAGGCTTAGTTTCAAAATCTTGGAACTCAAAAAATGCCATCAAATCTATTAAGGTAAGTATTTTGCATGGTATATGAAGAATACTTCTTAGAAAGAAACTCATACATCCTTTGTGTGTGTGTGTGTGTTGTTGGGGAGGGGGAGGAGGGGGTGTAGGTGGGGTGAAGGACTGAAGGCTAAACAAATACAAATTTTGTTATTAAATATCCTATCTAGCGCTTCAACAGTATTAAATTCCAACAATATGCTGGTATAACTATGACAGCATCAACATCCAGATTGCATAGAGCCATGGACGCCTTCACAAATGGGAAGGCTACAGTGTAAAGTAAAATTTTAGTTGAGTCAGACAGAAAGCTTTTATCGCCAATACAATCTCTGTTTTTGATCCATAGTAGATTCTCTAGATAGTTTTCCATTGATGGTATGCAACACTCAACTCAATGTTAGTGCTTATGGACTGAAAAATATAAATTTATTCATCATATAGTTTATTGAACATGTTCATTTTTAACTTTGAGTTTTATTTTTTCCTCTTTGTCTTTGTTTCAGGTTGTACAGACAGGAAAAATTGTTGCTCCAGAGCTGTACATGGCTTTTGGGGTATCAGGAGCCATTCAACACAAGGCTGGCATGAGAGACTCCAAAGTCATTGTAGCGATAAATAAGGATGCAGATGCCCCCATATTCCAGGTAGGAAAACAGTTTTCTTATCTTTATTGCTAAATTGCAAATGAAACTGAAGATTTATATTTGATTTTCTGAACCCTTTATTCATGAAAGTACATTTGCATCTGGAAACGCTGTATTACAGCAATTGTGAGTGTACATCTTCCTCCCCTCCCTTCTTTCTCACTGATGAGGAATTGGAAATTGATTGCATATTGGTGATCCAATGTGGAACTAATGCAATATCCATACTTTAATGTCACGGAAAAGATCATGTTAAGACATGTTATAGATGCATGATAATTCAGGACTGATATAAAACTTGGCCCTCCAATATGGGAATTAGTATGATCACTTTTCTCCGTGTTGCACCTAAGAACTTCATATATAGTCGAAACTAGTATGATATGATTTATGCATGGAAATTAGTATTAGATACTGCCTTCCAAAAATTGAAGATTATGCCTGAGGAATCACCTCTAGTCACCCTACTGTCCCTTCCAAGTTCCAACGACTCAGGTTTATCAAAGAACGCTGCTATCACACTATTTTTTCTTTAAATTTGAACTTAGCATACTTTTTGTTTTGCAGGTGGTGGACTATGGGCTTGTTGGTGACCTGTTCGAAATAATACCGGAATTGCTAGAGAAACTTCCAGAGAAAAATAAAAAATTGTAAATTTTAGTGACAGGGCTCACTGTATATGACCAATAAGGCAATATGACAAATTAACAAGGCCTGTCTTACACAAGGTGCTGTTATAAGCCCTCAGTTTTAGTTGTAGCAGTTCAGGACCTGTGGAAACGTTTTAATTCTATTCATATCCTTGTACAGTAATGAACTAGACTTTGTATACCCTGGAAAAATAACATACTCCTTATCAATTTCTTGTTAAAATTGAAAAAAACCTTGCCTATAAATCCTATAATACTTTCACGTTTCTGTATTTACTTACTATATTACCTTTTTTTTTTTAATTTTTTTTTTTTTTTTTACATTCACCCAACCTTTTACTATAGTTCATCTTATTTGTACTTATTCAAGGAAAAAAAAAAAAAGTTTAGATCAAATCAGGAAATATAAGTTCATATCAGATCATAAAAAAATAATTTATGACACACTTTATTGTTGAACGTGTTTTTATCACTAAATATCTTTAGATTATATAATGCCTAATTGACGTACGTAGTATATTTGGAATTCACTAAAGAATTTTTTTTGATTTTGTTTGTTGGTAAAAGTCAAAATTTCCTTATTAAAAAAAAAAGGTATAGGGAACGCAGTTGTAGGGAATCGAACCATAGACCAATGTAGTTACTAAATAGCATATAAACCAGTAGGACAGTCCACCACCGTGTTAATATTGTTACTAACAATATTTTTACCTGCACAAAAGTGAACCAACCAAAAAGCTTAGGCAAACAAAATGAACTGGAGGAAATCATATTATTAGTGGTACATACACCCGATGGTATCAATACAATGATTTAATAAATGATATTCCGTGTCCTTTGTTTATTTACACAAAAGCCAAGAGCAGAATTATCTATAAACATTAAAGCTCTATAATTAACCATACAACAACAGTATAAGCATCAACCAAAGGAAAATTTCAACTTTGATAGGGACTAATCATCTGTTATGTATATGAATAAGATCCTTTTAATGAGTTTTAATCATCGAATCACCTACATACTCACCTAGTCTATAGCATCTACTTTGTGCACAGCACATACAAACATCAAACTGCTTGATAGGGCATTCATCATTGTATCTTAAACTCAACTGTAATATTTGTTCAAAAAGGGATCAGTAATGAAGAATCACAGAGAATGACTAATATACAAAACATCCACTTCACATCAGCAGCCTGCTGCCATCATTCATCCCTCCTGCTGCCATCACTCATCCCACCAATCCTCCCCTGTCAATGACACCGTGAGAAACAAATATCAGAAACAGACTTGCATGATTCACGTGTTTGGATGAGGCAAAGAGACATTACCTTGGATTAACCTTGCTACCCAGAATTTGTTTCTGAGGTAGTAAAGGTTATGACCATGATCAAATACCAAAAAAGCGATTTTGATGTCTTCATCTTGATAGTATTTGTGCAGCCAATCCTCGAGAGCTCTTATCCCTTCTAAAATATCATCTTTAACGATGAAGAAATTTTCGTTTTCTCGCTGAATTAGGATGTATATCCTTGTTTGGGTGGGCGATGTAAGAAACCTTTTAGCTCGAACCTACAATACAATAAGATAGTCTCACAACAAGTCAGCAATAACATTAGTGTAATGAATGTATGTAGAGAAACATAGTGTTTTGCTGTCAAGTTACCATGCCATCACGTTGCTACTGTAAGAACCAGAATGATGTTGACATTTAGGTTAGTTGCTAGAGATTAGTGCAGAAAACAGAGTGATTCAAGCAAAGCAAGAGAAAAATCAGCCAAAATATGATAGATTCAAAATATGTGAAATGCACAGCTGGTCTGGGCTGACCTCTTGCATTAGTCTACTGCAATGAATGTGTTAATTGTGCATTCACATAGTTTTGTTGCTATCAAAGGGGAACAGATTTTGTGAGTTGTATTGTATATGCCTGAAGATGTCTTAGCGTCTCACTGAGCTTTGCTCGTATCATTGCGGTCTCGGGATATGATCATAAACTGTAATTGGGATATGATCCAAATTTCTGTCTATATTTTGAACAATTTTGGTTTTTGACATCACTTGTATCAGTTATATATGCTCAGTTGATTATAAATGGATGTCTTTTTTTTTTTTTTTTCCTTTCATGCCTTATGGGAGTCAATAACCTTTGTTTCACGTCATGCATTTTATATCTGCACTTATCGGCTTTCCCTTTGTTTTCAATTTCACTTGGAAAGAGGTCATATTGGTGCTACGATGAAAGCAAATATGTACAAGTTATGCAAGCAAAAAGAAATTGATTGGTATTTCCATGTAGTATTGTTCATAGACTCATACTGATTGCTTCTTATTAATCCGTAAAGCTTTCTTATTATGCCTATCTTTTCCCCTTGCAGTCAATATTTTGTCATACCTTTGTGAAGAGGAAATGGACCATGTTTTTTCAAGGTTTATGTCCAATCTGATGGAAAGTAAATACTAGTATTTCTAAGATTATGCATTTGTTGGCTAATAAGTGAGACCACTAATATGGATTGAAGCTTAAGTGGAAAGGTATTCAAAAAGTCGTGTTGAGATCATGATCAAAGGGAAGAGTCAGTTCAAGGACCAAAGGTACATCTCTGGTATTTTAATTGTCTTTATAATGATCTAAACTTGCGAGAGAAGTGTCAGGAGACTCAGGACATATAGTCTAGCAGCAATTCAGTAGGACATATAGTCTAGCAGCAATTCAGTACAAACTGTAATATAATACCAAACTACATGAGATCAATTTTTCATGATTTCTTGTATCAATTGTCATGCTATGCATGTTAATCATGCCTATAATGGTATCTACCACTCAATTTGTTTTAGTATGGGACTATTGTGGATTGTATATACGGTGTAGATTACAAAGTTTTTTTGGGGGGTCCTTTTAAAGATTATAATACCATTATTAGTTCCCTTAATTATACCTTAATTGAACACAAATCTCATTTCTAGCTTAATCTAGTTGTGATGCTGATGCCATTAGTAACTAAAGTAAACCAGAACCTTGAAAAAAGCACATTTGTAGAATAGGGTTCACGTTCAATGGACAAAAACAACAAAAGCAACAACAGCAGCAGCAACAACAACATGAAAAACAACAACAGCAGCAGCAGCAACAACAACAACAACAACAACAACATGAAAAACAACAACGGCATCAGCAGCAACAACAACAACAACAACAACAACATGAAAAACAACAACAGCAGCAGCAGCAGCAACAACAACAACAACATGAAAAACAACAACAGCAGCAGCAGCAACAACAAGAACATCAACAGCAAAAACAACAACAGCAAAAACAACAACAACAACAGCAACAACAAAAACAACAGCAACAACAAAAACAACAATAACACACCTCAGCATCGAAAACAGCCAAACCCCTCCTAACTTTCGGCATCATCTTATAACCGTGAAATAGAGGGTCATATCGCATAATCTCTGCTCCATCAGATGCAGACACTGCATCAAAACAAAAAATATGTGATTAATTTAAAAAAAAAAAAAAAAACAAAAAAAACAAAGTGAAATTATAAATAACTTACTACTAATTTTGTATTCTTTTACAGAATTGCACATTAGGAATGAGTTCTTGGACAATGCTGATGCATGTTGAAGAACGATGACAGTCTGAAATAAGAAATAACTAAATTATTTTAAACAAAAATTAAAGATAAACAAAATCAAAGAAAACCAAAATTACTGTATCAAACAAAAATAAAGAATTAATACCTTTAGTTGAAGCTCTTGAATTGTACTTCCCTTAAAGAACAAGAGATTGGTAATTGATTTACCCCTTCTGTTTTGGTAATACTCCTTAACTTGTTGGGCAATTACATGAAACTTTCGGAATGTTTGTCTGATTTGAAATCCCAGAATTTTCAGATACCTGGTTCCCCATTTAGTAAATTCATTAGTTCTTGACCCCAATAGCTTAAAATGCATGCATTCGTATTCTTCATCCTCGCAGGAAATCGTGGACAAGAATGATAACATGTCAGCTAATTTAATCTTCAAATCAGAATCACTCAAGCATTCTTGGTAATAAAATTTCAAAGCTTTATAAGCTGGATTCAAGAGCTTAACGTTTGGAGAACTCAATTTTCCCAATTGGAAGAACGACTCAATATCAGCCTTCATCTTCTCAAGAATAATCTTCTGAGCATCGCCATTTTTGGCCTGTTGAAGCTCTCTGATATGTATTTCGAGCATGGCAGAAAAGTCATCTGGTGATGACGAAGAAGATGATGATGCTTCCCCTTCCATTGTAGTACTGAATAAATGTGCAGACGAAAGGATGATTTCTTGAAGAAAAATGGTTATTTCTTGGAGAAAAATGGTTTTTTTGATATCGAATATTGAAGAAAAAAGTTAGTCAAATTTTAAAAATGGATTAAGTAGTAAAAAAAAAGTATTTCTTGGAGAAAAAGGGTTATTTTGGGATTTTTTTTTTGATCTCGAATATTGAAGAAAAAAGTTAGTCAAATTTTTAAAATGGATTAAGTAGTAAAAAAAAAAGTATTTCTTGGAGAAAAGGGTTATTTTGGGATTTTGTTTTTTTTTTTTTTTTTTTGATCTCGAATATTGAAGAAAAAAGTTAGTCAAATTTTTAAAATGGATTAAGTAGTAAAAAAAAAAGTATTTCTTGGAGAAAAAGGGTTTTTTTTTTTATTTATTTATTTATTTATTTTTATATCTCGGGTTAGTCAAATTTTTAAAATGGATTAAGTAGTTACAAAAAATGGGGAATGCAACTATAGGGAATAGAACCTTTAACCAATGTAATTGCAAGGTAACATGTAAACCAATAAGACAGTCCACGACCGTGTTATATATGTGCTAACAATATTATATATTGATTGTAACTATCAAATCCAAAATTCTCCTAAGGAAAAAATATTTGTGGTTGGGAAATGCAGCTGAAGAGTATCGAACCATAGACCAATATAGTCGTAAGTTAACATGTAAACCAGTAGGACATTCCACGACTATGTTATAAAAGTTGCTAACAATGTTATATATTGATTGTAACCATTTTAATTATACCCTGGAAAAATAACATACTCCTTATCAATTTCCGTAAAAAGTAGGAGATTGTTCTATGAATAGTGCACGGACTATTATGCCCCTTATAATATTTATTTAACTTCTTATCCTCATGTGTAAAAGTAGGAGATTGTTCTTATGAATAGTGCACGGACTATTATACCCCTCAAAATATTTATTTACCTTCTTATCCCCATGTGTAATTAATCATCAATTAATCATAAATTAAATGGAGGATTAGAATAATAAAGTTTAGAATTGTTTAGAATTTCATGGTTTAATTATATAACAGCATTAGTTACTGGACAACGAAAGGTTGTTTCTTTATGTGAGCGTTATTTTAAAGTAGCTCATTTATCGTTTAGAACATTGCACAACATCCAACACATTTATCGTTTATATGCAAATAGCTTTGATAAAATATTATACACAAACCGGCATAAGACATAAAGAACGTCGATAATTGTAGGGAATATTTCAAGTTATCTTATCTGAGTCTTCTAATTAAACTTCTGGGAGCCAATTTGAGTCTGTTGAGAAGAATGGGGTTGGGAATCGTTTTGACGTTGGAGAATGAAGATGCAGTGAACAATCACTTGGAGGTTGAGAGATGTCTGCTTTTTTGGATTTTGAGAAATTGGGTGAATTTGCAATTTAAGAGTAATTTTTGAGTAAATTTGATTGATATTGGTTTTGATAAATTTTTTTATTTGAAATTGAGTATTTGTTCTAGGTTGTTTGAATGGAATATCAATTTATTCCAAATTTTTGCAATTTTAAGAATAAAGTGTTGGAGAAATTAGTTTTGAGTGTTATTGTATATCACTATATCCAGGTTCCTCATTCATGTAGTGCAGGTGGCATTGTCACTTTTGTAATTGGATTGATGCATGGCTGTACTTATTGGCTGTACTTAATTGGATTGATATATCACTATATCCAGGTTCCTCGATAAATATTTTGGCTGTACTTATTGGCTTACTGCTCTGCTAAGTGTCATTGATATAGTGTTGATTTTCTTTGGTGATTGTTAATATATGCAAGTAATGCTATTTGTTTTCACGTCTTGATGTGAGAGTTCTAGCACCATTTTTGTGTTGCTTCAATCTGCCTTCTTTCTTTAATCTTGGCATGCTACTTACCTTTTGGCTAACCCTTTTGTTCAGTGTCCTGACACTAACTCTTGCTTTGAATTTTCCTGATTCTGCTCTCTGAATCCTGAATTGGCTTCTTGTATTTTTGCAGCTAGAGAGTTTGCCGAATATGATTGCTGGTATTTGTTCTAACAATAATCAACGGCAGTTGGAGGCCAGGCCACAACTCAGTGACAAAAATTGCTTTTGATAGGTTTTGGCTTGTTATCTTTTTGGGCTAGCAAAAATTTAGTAGTATGTCTCTCTCTCTCTCTCTCTCTCTCTCTCTCTTGAGTTAATTAATCAGGATAATTTTTATAAATTTCAATTTTGAACAACTTTCGCTTCTTACAAAAAAAGAGACTTTCTAAGCATTTCTGAATAAAAGGGTTAGTGAATATTTTTATTTATTAGATTTGGTAGTATATGTATGTCTAATTTAGAGATGGATTGTGGTGTGTCTCATCACTCACATAATGACCATTGTTATAGCTTTTTAGGCTCAAGTTTGATAATCTTGTCAATCACCTTAATTACTTAGCTGTAGCTCTTTGTGTGGATTTCCAATTCTGTATGAATTTCCCAAGACACTGAAACTGATGCTTTGGGTGTACATTGAAATCTAATAATTCACTTTAACGTTTATTTCTTTGTTTTAATACTTTTTCGACTTGACTTATGATAGCTTTCTCTTAGGTGATGTAGGGCATCCTTTGAGATCATACTTGTACTATATAGGTTATCTTTACCAAAAGATGGATCCATTATTTATAGTATATTATATAATCAATTAAAACATTATACTTTACAATCTAATATAATCTAATTACTGTGCGTAGACCTGTAAATCGGGTCGGGTCACGAGTCATTTCGGGCAGGGTCATTATTTTAGGTTACGGGTCAAGAAATGTTTTACACCAATGTTATTATTATTATTAGTCATTACATGCCTACTATATAGTTTAAATCATCACAAAAACACATCAATTCCTAACTAATTTTGTATCAATGATATATTTTAAAATTTGACATATAGATTAAAAATTTATCTTAAAATTCAATAAACAACCCGGGCATCGCGCGGGCACAAAACTAGTTTTATTTTTATTTTTAATCTATTTCTGCTTATCATCACTGTTTTGAGGCAAGTGTAGAGTCTGTAGACTGATGCATGGTAATTTCATAGGATTTTTCTTGTTATTCTTCGTGAATCAATGCTTATTTTGTGATACTAGGTTTATTTTTACATCATCTTGTTGTAATTGTACAGCTGATGTTGAAATAAAAAAAAAAAAAGAAAAAAAACAACACACACACATAATCATTATATATTTGTTGTAAATTAAGCAATTTACTCAATTGAATTTTCAGAGTGTTCTGCCATACTTCAATAATTTTCAATTAAATACTAGCCATTAAATACTATAACAACAAAATAGGAAATGATTATGCTAAGTGGGTGAACATGGCCCACATAATACTCCATTAAAACTGCTGGTAACTTCTTAGACCTAGGATACTACTTTTATTTAGGAAAATAATCTTCCACTAAGGCACTAGATAATAACGACTAACAACTAAGTCCACTGATTTTGGGGCATTAAGAAACAATACTCATACATAAACTAATGAAATAAAGAATATTAGTATCTTATATCTACTAGCATACTAGATCGACAATAGGGACACTTGTGTTTTCCGGGAAGCCATCTGAAAATGCAGTCGCGATGAAATACGTGGTTGCAACGAGACAAGCTTATTGCATTTTCCGATGACAAGTTGTCAAGACAAATGGAGCAAATAGTATCATTACCGAAATCTTTTGTATGAATCCATTCAACGGTTTGTTTTTGCTTCCTAAACACCCACGGTAATATAATCTCGGAATATTGTACATTAGCGTGGCGCATAAGCTCGGGGTAAAGACATTTAAGGATCTCAACATCATCTTGTTCAAGGCTTTGATATTCAACATTTGTAAAAGGGATTTCATCAAAACTTACATTGTTGAGTTTGGATGGAAAATAAGCATATTCGTTGTCATCGAATATTTCATCAAAATCGTGTGTAGTAATATAGGAATCCTCTTGCTTATTAGCAGTAGTAGTATACACGAACAAAGACTGCTGATCCTCTTGTTGGCAATGCCTTCCATCGATGAGAATATCAAGCACAAACAAAAGTCCGGGATAAGCATCAATATTCCTATGATAACGGAAGCAAGACTTCAAATAGTCCGAAACGTTTCGAGAAATTAACTCTTTTGATTTAGGGCCAATATAATCTTGGATTTCCGAGATTACTTGTTTTGCCAATTCAGAAAAATCACCTCTGTGAATGGCGTAAACTTTGAAATAGACGAGTTTCCTAAGCAGATTTTGATCATATGATTTGAGATTTAGGAGGAATAGCCCTTGATTATACAAGAAAGATGGAGGGAACTCATGGGGAAGGAAGACTCGAAAGAGTTTAACATTATCTAGCTTTGCTTCATGCAGCATCATGTTTATGTTTATGGAGAACCTACTAAACCAAATACAAATATCAAATATTATGATCAAGTATGATTGTTTAAAGCTATGAATAGCTAGTATATTTAATTTATTCTAAGCTAAACCTTGGGCAGTACGCTAACAACTCCTATGTTTCAGAGGATAATAGTAATAGATAGATTTAGGAATTAAAAAATATTGCCAATAAAACTTTCTATAACTTTTACTAATAATTTGTACGTGTTTAATACGGAGTAGGATAATAATGGATAGATTTGGAAAATAGGCGGAAACGATATCCTAAAAGTTACTATATTAAAAAAATCAATATTTGGAAGATTACGCTTAGTATTTCCTACGCTGTATAATAATAGCATAACCAAATTAGATAGATTAATAATTCTACCATATTTAAAAAATCAATATTCACAAAGCATTTTTTTTTTTTTTTGGATAATATTGATTTATAAATTAAAGCATGTTAGTTTGAAGGTAACTTTTCACTCGGCCGACCCACCCCTATTACCGAAACCACCCCTCTCCCTTCCCTACCATTTGAATCACCCTCATGTATGAGGCATTTGAGAAGGATACAGTAAAGTATCTTCAGGTGAGACTTTGTTGTCATTGTTTACATTATAGCCTATAATCTACATGTATAAGCTTCCGTTATAGTTGATATGTTTGTTGCTGCATCAAAGCTGCCCATTTATTGATCGAGTAGTCGCTTCGCTTGATGACTATCATTCTTGCCAAGAAATA